CGTAATCCAGAGTCAGATTATATCTACATCCTAAATTATATAATATATAATCAAATTAATCACCAGATAGCAAAATGCTAGCAGTGTGCCAGCAGTATGCCAGCAAATTCAATCATGACTTCGCAGCAGATTTCGCTCTGCTGCGTCCTCATTAAGCTTAATTTCTGGCAGCACGGCTTGCCGATATAATATAACAGAGAAAATAGAGCAAAAATCGAGTATTATTTGCTATTACGTCGTGACAGCAGATATGTAACAAATATCGAGCGAAGTCTGCCATATCAGATCTGACAGTAGAAATGTGGCAGAAATCAAGCATGGTCTGCCGTTACAATGTGACGGCAGAAACTGAAAAATTGAACCGGGTTGGGTTAACCCGTTCATCCGAAAACGCTATATGTTTAAAATATAGTTAAAATTATACGAGCAATTAAATATTGTATGATGATTAATAATAATAGTAGGATAATAGGTAACAAAGTGAACAAATATACAATATGTAAGACACGGGTGCCTGTTAAACTTGGTGATTTGTTGTTTTATTACTATCGATATTTTGTGTATCATATCAGCAGGATAGACTAACAATTATATTATCTTTTTTCAATTGTACCAATATCGTGTTTATTTTTTGTTATAAACATTATTGTTACATTTTATGTGAGAATTATATTTTAAAACAATTGTTAAAATTTTGAAACTATGTTGGCCATTTTGTAACACACATATATTGTACATTATAAAAAATTGTTCTTATGCCCAGACAGCACAGAACGTCCTCAGGATCATCCTGAATATGTTCAGGACAATTCAGGACATTTGTAGGATGTTTTAAAATATTATTATAAATATATTTTATGAAAATTTAATATGCATACATGATTACTTTCGGTTATGTAGGCTATTTAATATAATTTAGAAATCTTAAGTATTATAATAAGTATTAATGTGCGCACATTTTCATATATCCAGAATTATTATTTATTTAATATTTCAAAAACGTTACAAAAAATAGTATTCAGCCGTTAGTTCATTTGTTTACCGCTATACCACGCGCGATTTCGTATTTGAGATTTGGTCGTGAGAATTATATAAAGCTTGTAAAGAGCAACTGGCAGGAAATTAAAAATGTGATTATTTTCTACCAGTTCAATTTCTGGTGCAATCTCAACATAGGGAATTCAGATATTGAATTGTTTAGAAAATATTACACGGTTCAAACCCGAAAGCCAAACCTAATAAAAATATCATTTGTAATTGCTCGAAATATTTTGTTCAAGGATAATAGACAAGGAAAAAAATATTTTTTTTTTGCAGTGTTTGCTTTGTTATTTTGTACTAGAGAAAGAAATTAATTTTATTTATCGTCAACACTGTAAAGATTACAAAACTATACACAATAATTTATTTTGTTTTACAAGGATTTTGTTTCATTCACTACAATTTTTACAATTTACAAGTTTTACTCTAAAATAAATTTATTTCTTAAAGTCTAAAGTTATTATTTATTTCTTTCTTCTTTTCGAGAATAATATTTTACATGTGCGCGTATACGCATAAAATAATTTCAATACTTTTATAAAAAAATATTTCAATAATAACACATATCGTCCATATATATATTAAAATAAAAAAAAATCACGCGCGGCTAACAAAAAATATTAATAAATCCATTATTTTCGTATTTTTGATTAAAACGGCCGATTGATGTATGTCCATGTTAAATCCACAATTATGCATCTAGCACGGACATGCACCAATCGACCGTTTTACCATGGCACCGAAAAATGGATCCGGCCACGTAGTTTGGCCGGTTCTAAAATGGATCCAGTTAACGCCACTGTACCAACTAGAGAAAGCATTACAGGAAAAACGGCGGCGTGACCCCTCTCAGGCTTCTCTCTGATTTTATATTATATATAATTTTAAATAAGAAGTTTTTTGTATAAATTAAAGGCGACAGAATCATTCTAATTATACATCTGCATATTTACATATAATATTTATTATTTATAAAAATGGATCCGGCCACGTAGTTTGGCCGGTTCTAAAATGGATCCAGTTAACGCCACTGTACCAACTAGAGAAAGCATTACAGGAAAAACGGCGGCGTGACCCCTCTCAGGCTTCTCTCTGATTTTATATTATATATAATTTTAAATAAGAAGTTTTTTGTATAAATTAAAGGCGACAGAATCATTCTAATTATACATCTGCATATTTACATATAATATTTATTATTTATCATATATTTTGTCTACTAAAAACTATGGCAAGTGCTTATGCGTCTCATTGGTCGATAGCTTTACTGCTTGAGATCGATGCGTGACTTATTTACTAAGTGAATTAAAAATAAATAAATTAAAATCTCTCATGAAAGGAAGAATGCAAAAGACTTAAATATAAAAGTAACAGAGAACAACAGTTAATAGTTTAATTCTGTTATAAGCGGCCAATTTTTCCCGACGAGACAGGCGCGAAATCATACCGCGCATGACCGGAATCGATGTTGCTTCGCGAGTACGCCTGACCGCGTCGCTACCGTTCGCTGCATTATGGCCGCCGCGTTTGGGTGTTGTGGACACTGATTTTTCTCGAATTTTCTTACGAGTGAAAGAGACTCTTGGAACGGTTAGCCATCGCCGTCATCATCGTACTCGTCGAATCGAACGATCGCCGCGCAGTAGCCCGTGTTTGTCTGTCCCTCGAGTTTTTAGGCGGCGTGTGAGTGAAACGGGCGGTGTGATCATCTCCGCCGAGGAAGGATGACGCGTGTACGTCGTTGAAAGAGAGAGAGAGGCAGGCTGCCGGAAACAACGCGGGTAAGTTATTCG